TTCGCCCCTTCGCCCCTTTAACGGGGGTTTTTTTTTGGGGCCACCCCCCCCCCCCCCCCCCTTGACATGACACACCCTGGGGTGGGGTGTTCGGGCGGGTTTTTTGTATTTTTCGGGGGTTGTGGTGGGAATCCCAAACGGGGACCTTTGAACCCGTCCATTCATAGGACAGCAAGGAGGGGGGGGGGGGGGGGTACGCAGAATTGTTGCCCGGCGTTACCCGCGGCTCGCCAGCTGTGTGAGGAGCGTGGTGGCATGTGTGGAGGGATACGCAGAATTGTTGATGTTGTCCTGCGTCACCCGTTGCTCGCCGGCTGTGTGAGGAGCTTGGTGGGACGTGGTGGCTGCTGAGGTGCGACTGTTTACCTGTGCGAAGGCAGAGCAGCGGAAGGGGCGTTCATGAAGGTACCGACGAAGGAGGCTCGCGTATTGTACAGCTGTGCACCGTTTTCGACTTTGTTCTTCGAAGAAGCCAGCCGTGATTTCCGTACCAAAGGGAGACTACCAAGAGGTCAAGATTTGGCTTCGAACCCTCTGAAGAACACACAGGAAGCACCACATATGCCGCTCTTTCAACGATAAACGTGAGGGATGTAAGGAAATCGCCTGTTATTGAGAGGGCTTGGGGAGGGATACGGGTGGCATTTGTGTGGCGTCACCCTTCTATCAGAATTGTGGCCTCAGATCTCCGCTCGATGTTTGCATGAGGGCATTTGCGGTCGCGTCCCCATATCGAGAAAGCGGGAGTCACCGATGTCGGTATACTGGTCGGATAGCAGGTAGATGCGGCGGAGGGGCAACGTGAAGAGACTCTCCCCGGAATGTACACAAGTGTAGAGGGGAAAGCGGGTCAGTGTGGAGGGGCGGGGGTACAGCGGTAGGGTGAACGTGGTAACATTAAAGGCAATGGTGATGGTTGGTGTCCTTATGTTCCAAGAATGTAGAGGTACCCCGTGCATTGGAAAATTCGGTAAGAAACGCGATGCACGGGCCAAGACACAAGCGCGAGCGACCTCTCTGCGCGGAGGTGCTTCTAGCGCGGAAACCCAGCACGAGTCAGCGGGAAGACTCTTAAGGGTTGTTCTGTGGTGTGCAACTTGGCCGAATGGCACGAATATTGGGTCGGTTACCGTAGGCTTCACGAAAGCTTCCACGATAGCCACGAACGAACGTTGCCGTGGCAATACCCCCCCCCCCCACCGCAAAATTCGAGTGCCGGACACGAGTGTGGCGAGGTGAGGCGGCAGGGAAAAGAGGGAAACGTCATCCCCGAGAGGGGGGCGTTGCCACCATGCCACACCTAATGTACCAGTATGTAGCCCACTCAACAAGCCAACCCCAACGTTCAGTGCACGCAGGCCAGTCGAGTTCCCGTCCAGGATGGCACGTTCATCACGTGAGAAAACATTCGACATGGGGGAGAGGTAGCAGCGGGCAGCGGTATATTGTTCCCACTACCCCGGTGACCCCCTCCTTCCAGACGACACACGAAGACACAGAGCCGGGCACGAGCACGCGATTTTTTGTTCGTGTGCGATTAAGCGTCGTCGCGGTTCCCGAAATAATCAATACGAAACTTTGCGCTTCACTCATATCGACAAAGCCGGCCGTCCAATAATGAATGACCCTCCAGTCACCTCCGAGCACCCCCCCTCTCCAATTGAGAAAAAATTCTTGCTTGATCTATCTCGCTTGCGTGATCCCAGAGCGGTTTCTCGCAATTAGTCCCATGTTTTTTCGTTCTCTCTACATGGATAGGTGAAGCCCTCAAGAAAAGGTAGAAAAATCAACGAGGAGTGAGATTCCTGCGACTCCTTTGTTGGGCGACGTTATCGTCGTCCTCGAGGGGAAAAGGACTACAGTACGTCACCTTTGGGATACCGACGAGACACCCATTGTCCGTCGCGTCCAGAAAATGGAACCAAAATATATTATCAAAACTGCGGCAGGGCTCTGAACCCCCTGACCCCCTGACGGTCCACGCCTCATTGGTAAACTGCTTCCTAAAAAAACGCGCAAAAAGAAAACGGTCAAGGCGATGAACAAACTACAACAAACCCGTAATCACGCCGTCGGAACGTCATCCTCGCTCGTTCGCTAGATACACATGAGCAACCCTGACTTCAATTCTCACTGATATGCGTCTCTTTCGCTGGTCATATGTACCGTCTTCAAAACCATGAATCAGGACCCGCCTCTGTGTCGTTTGCTCTTTCCCGCAGTTTCCTACCGTAGCTGTGCTCGACCGCCCGCGGCGCCGTGTCGACGCCCCACAAACGCAACATAACACCAACCCCCGACAACAAACACCCCAGCAGACACGATAAAACGGGAGAACGAGAAGAAGACTTTACATACGCCGGTCGGCTCAAACAGGCCACCCAGGCAGGCAGGCAGGCAGGCAGGCAGGCGCCATACGCTCCGGGGAAAGAACTAGACATCCATCACGATCAACCAACATGGGGCGGTGTTTCTTTTGCTACCACCAGGTACTTGCTGCTGCTGCTGCTGCTGCTACCACTACTCCGGCTTTGCGAAGAGATAGTGCGACACCATCCACTCCTCGCCCTTCCTGTAGTTGAACAGCTCCGCGCAAGCAATGAAGAACAACCTGCGAGTAATTTACATGTTACGGAACAACAGTAGGCGCCGACGGACAGAGGTGAACAAAACAGTAGTGGTATGAAACAAACAGCAGTACCAGTAGTAGCAGGAGCGCACCCTATATTGTACAAGAAAAACAAAGGTGGTCGGAAACCAACCAATTACCAAAACTCCAGCAACGTATTGTAGAAGTACTGTATTGCCGAACCCCTCAAGCAACGACTGCACTAACACAACGCTCCCGATTGCCCTCCATGCTCACGCCGTCTAAGCATTGCTGTTTATGAAACGCCCGTCAGCAGAATCGTCGAACTTCGGGCCTACTTACCGCCAGTACACGAACCACTTCAGCTCCGTTCCCTGCGACACGGGAAGAGAGAGGGAAGGGGGGGGGGGGGGGGGGGGTGCTGTTTCCCCCGGCTTACTAAGGACTACTTGCCGGTAC